TGGATGTTTACAGCTGTTTCTCTTCATTTTGATTTGTGGCCCATTAGCAAATGAAGGTTCTGTGAGCTTTTCTCTACTTGGAGAAGGCATTTTTTCCCCAGTCGCATTCTGAGTACCTTCCCACTTTCCAGTCCTGTATCTGACAATGTTTCTCTGCTATTCATAGAGTTTTCAGTGACTAGCAAATCGGAAGTAGTTTGTCACTCTTTCTTCCTAGTCTATCTTTGTTTGAAAGCTCATCTGAAACCTGTCCACCACGGGTGACCCTGCCCTGCTGGTTATTTAAAATACCGGTGGCATAGCCTTCAGAATCACAGCAATTTAAACCACCACAGCACGACAGACGAGTGGCGGTTGCGTGGTTGCTGTTAAATAGGAATCTCCTTGTGCTAGGGCCCTTAAGTCTGGCTCAAAAGCAGGATTTCTGTCCTTGGATGTCAATCAAGGGGCAGAAGCGCAGCAGGGGCAACTGGGTTGTAGTGAGATGCTTTGGGCTGGGCCTGTGTTTCTCTAAGTTGGTAGAACCCCGCCTCTAAGCAAAGATCCAACGGTCAGGCTAGGAAGGTGCTCAACCCCGCCTCTAAGCCAAGATCCAACGGTAAGGCTAGGAAGGCTCTCTCATGTCTGGGGTAAGTAGGACAGCCTGGCCCCGGCCCCTGCATTTTCTTCCCGCTTGGCAGTGTCTCCCCATCGACCTGGTCTCCAGACACCTCTCACCTCGCCGCTCCGTGGTCTGGGTTTCATTTAACACCTCCACCAGGTCTGCGCAGTTGTCGCACATTGTATACATGCTGCCCTCCATGATAGAAGCCCTCGCACAAAATGAGTAAGAGTCCTTAATAGAACACCAGGAGTCCTGGTGTGGGACTACAGGATAATGCACTGTACCGAAAGGTCAGCTTGAATGGAAAGGTCAGCAGTTCAAACCCACCAGCCTTTCCTCGGAAATACTATATATGAATCGGAACCAATTCAAAGGCACTTAACAACACACAATAGAACAAAACCTACTTTGAACTTTAATCATAATGCTTACAGAATTTTATAGTAAGAAGAAACAGAACTTAATATATTAAATAATTTAAATGTCAGAATCACAAATTTTTAAAACTTACCATCCCTGTTCGTTTTTATACTTGTAAGCAGCCCCAAGAATATGACACAAGGTGCCCCCAGCTTTGAAATCCATGAAGCATTTTGCCTAAAAAGCATAAAAATTAAATGAGAAAAATAATGGTACTAACAAAAAAAATCTTAATTTTAAGTTGTGCCATATAAATATAACAATACAGTTAACTTCCTTACATATTTTCCTAGAACAAATTGAGATACAAAGCCATTTTTCTAAAAGTAGACAAAAAATATTTTTTAAATACCATTTGCATTATTCTTTATGAAAATAAATCATCTTTCCAGAAGAACTAGATGAGCCCAGCTATCACTACCAACTGCTCTGAAAGGGATCACATTAGAAAGTCATTGATAAAAGTAGGAAAAAATGAGTAACAGAACTCCAAATCATAAAACAGACCAGGCTTACTGGTCAGATCGAGATTGGTGGAATTCTGGAGAGTGAGGTACTTAGCAACTCTTTAGGTCTAGAAATGAACCCAATTCCATGGCTCAATTTTCTGCCAAACACCAGACAGGGCTCCGAGGGGAACAGTAACACTAGTGAGTGTTGCACACCTTACAGTCCTCAACCATCTGAGATCAGAAGGGCAGTACATGCACAAAGACAAAGTTCAGAAGGGTGAGGAAAGGATGACAGACAAACGGAAACAGACAACACTGGAACTGAGAAAAACTATGTTACAGTCAAGAGATTGCAGTCAATGAGATGAAAGAAAATGTGTAAGAATTGTTGAATGGAAAACTGATTATCTGCTCTGCAAACCATCACATAACTTACAATAAAAAGTTAAACAAAAAGAAAACAGCCTTTGAGAAACTACATTTACAAAGGATAACTTAAATGTTTCAACAAGAAGCATTAAATGGATCAAACAGTGATATAATATAAACTTCATTGTTAATTTTAAAATCTAATTTCTAAAATGTATAAAATTTTAGCCACATTATACTACCTCCAATAATAAAATTTTTCGATGAAACAAGGAATATTCGTATACCATTAATTTTCCCCATCCTGGCTTTAAATTATAGAAAAAGGGTAACTGAATTTTGTAACTATTTTAATGATAAAACAGTGTACGTATAGCTGTAATTTTCAAAAAGATTTGCACTTAAAGGATTATAAAAGTATAGCTCAAATAAGTCAAAAGCTGAATGACTAATACCTTACAGAAGTAATTGCAATATAAACTGAGTATCAAATGTTGTTGTTTGGTGCTGTCGAGTCGATATGAACCCATAGTGACCCTGTACAGGGTTTCTGAGGCTGTAAATCTTTCGAGAGCAGAAAGCCTCATTTTTATCCTGTGGAACAGCTGGTAGTTACAAACTGCTGACCTTAAGGTTCTCCATCTGATTTGTAACCACTGCACTATCAAAGCTCCTTGAGTATCAAATAGACTAAGTAAAATGAAGTGTTACAAACACAGCATGCTTTTTTTCTGCCTGAAAAGGGTTATTACAAATTAATACACTGAAAAGAATTACAAGATACCAAATGGCTTGGACTCTCATTCTGCTCAGTATTAAAAAATTCTTTATATCTCTATTCCGCCAGGAAGCCTCTTGCCCCCAAAGAGGAAGGCTCTCTTGCTCCTGTTTACTCTGTGGGCTGGGACCACAACATCTCATACCAAAATCTACTACTACCATTTCTCTGCCATGCTTGCCGCTACACCACTTGCTGTCTCACACTGCTCAAATGCTATCTCCCAAATATTCTTCCTTACAGTAGTGAAGTACTCCTCCAATCTTAAAAGCTTAGCAGCCCATAGAGGAAAAAGGGCTGTGTGCTGACAACTGGGGGCGGGGGGACGGAAGGGGCAGGTTTGCAGGGTATACCCTTTGGTTGGTTGGTTGATGATGCATGGAGGAGACTGTAACTATGGCAACGAAATGATATATGATAGGATGAATATAAAGCTAATGTTCTCCCATGTAAACTATCAAATAATTCACAATAAAACATTTTTAATGCATTATCTGTGAAACACAATAAAACAAAGCACAATTAAAAAAAAAAAAAAAAGCTTAGCAGGATGACAAAATTAGCCAATCCCCTATTACATACATCACATTTACATCAGCCAAACTGTCCAATTCCTTTTGTGAGCCATATGCACCCAATCACTGGGGAGCATGGTGGCTGTAGGATAAGCACTGGACTACAATCCACAAACTCAGCAATTCAAGCCTACCAGCAGCTCCGCAGGAGAAAAATGAGGCTTTGTGCTCCCTCAAAGGCTTACAGCCTCAGAAACCCTAGTGTCATTGATGGCACTGACAACACCCACCCAATCATTTTGTGGGAATGACAAGACAAGGGCTAGAAGTGCCGTATTAAAGCAACTCACAATAACCTATGCTGAGCCAGGTACTTAATACCCAAAAAGACTCCACTGGCTAGTATATAATGTTCCACTTTGATTGGAGGAAAAAAAAATATTCTAAATAGTCAATTCTTATACCAATACTGTTTATTCAGGAAAAATCTTAAGGTAAGTAGCTGACATGTTTCACTGGAACACTCTTTTCTTTAACTGTCTCACTTATTCAGTTTTGCTTTACAGTTGTTGTTAAGCGCCTTAGAGTCAGTTCTGACTCATAGCAACCCTCTATGTGGTTGCCGAGGAGAAGATGGTAGATTTGAACTGCGAACCTTGCAGCTTATCCTACAGCACCAAATCAGGACTCCAAGTACAGACATTTCACAGTATTAAACATTATTACATCTATTCCTTTCATTTGAGAAAATGTTGAACACTATTTTGAGAAGTACATCTGGTATCGTTGGTTGTAAGCCATGAATTATTTTTAATTAAGACATGTGCCTAAAAATATTCTTGCCTAAGCTTTAAAACGTACAACAAATACATGAATTCATTCCCAGAAGTCAAGTATCTAAAAAATAAAAGACCAAAAAACCCTACTGCTGTCAAGTCACAGCACCGTACAGAACACAACAAGCAACATTATAGAGCAGAACTTCTCCACAGGGTTTTCCAATGCGGTAAATCTTTACAGAAGCTGACTACCACATCCTTCTCCTACAGAGATTGGTGAATTTGAACTGATGACTACTTTAACCACTGCTCCAAAATAAAGGCCCTTTAAGTGCCATTTTTTAAGACACTATATGAACTAAAATATTTCTAATTAGAAATTCTAATACACTGTGAATCACATTATATGGAACAATTTATATAATGTTATGTGCATATTTTTTCCAAATGACATACAATATATGATAAAGTGCAATCAATAGGTATTATTCAAGGAAACCTATAAGAGCTGGAAGTCACGGGATTGCTTCCTGGGTCTCCAGAGTTTTCTGTCTAGTGCAATCAATTGGTATTATTCAAGGAAACCTATAAGAGCTGGAACTCACGAGATTGCTTCCTGGGTCTCCAGAGTTTTCTGTCTTTGATGCAGTCTCACCACTTCCCTATTGCCCATTTTAGTGAAAAATAATTTAGTTTTCCTTCTCTTACAGGTTCCTACCTTACAGATTCCAGCTTTGGGAGATTTTACTAGTGTTTGAAACAGCTGAAAATTTCTAAAAGTTTCTGATTTTATCATTCTAATAATCATAAAGAAAGAAAATAGAAAATAGATATGTAAGTGTTTAGAAGTAAAGGAACACAGAACTTCCAAATGATTGAGAGAAAAAAAATGCACACATAGTTGATTCTGGTATTCATGGTAGTTATGGTTATAGAAACCACTGCTTCTAGATTAAATGGATTAGTTTCCTGGGAGCCTTTAGACACGCCATTTTCTGTATAATACAAATAAAGAAATTCCTGAAAGAAAATGACAGAAAGACTAAGCACTTAAAATTTTATTAAAAAATTAACTAAAGAGTCTTCAAATCAAGTATCAATGATATCCGCTCTGTGCACAGGGTAGATAGGGACAGGCAACTTGGACATTGGCTACCTAAAATGAGGGGGCAATAAAGGCACACAGTGACTGGCTTACAAGGTTTCAAGAGGGAGTTTAGTTTAAGAGTATGGGGAGAAAGAAAGAGTCCAAACTGAATAGCTGTCATCTTGTCTAGATGAGTCTGGTGAAAAGATATGGGGATAAGGTTCATGAATAATTGTTATCATGACTAATTGTGACTGTCACAATTGTAAATGTTTAAGTTTTGTAACAAAAAAAAGGGGAGTGGTTAATCTTACAGTCCAGAAACAGAGGACCCTAGGACCCTCAAGAGAGGAATGCACAAGCAGAATGAGGGACCTTATCCAGAGAAGCAGCAGCGCCAGAGATGGAGGCAGAGAATGGAGGCATGGAGAGGGGGAGCGGCTGAGGACTCTAGATTCACGGACTATGAAGAGGCGGACTAAGAGCTGGTAGCCAGGAGCAGACTTGCAGAATGTGCCTTTTGGAGATGTAAATTATTATATATGCCTGAGTGTTTTTTTTTTAATTTGTTTGTTTTTTAAAAAGCTAAAGTGGATAGAGAGAAATACTGTTAACTGATGGTACATGAAGGGGATTATAATCAACGTAATGAAACAAGGTATAGGAATGGTTGAATGTAAAACTGATGATATGCCCTGTGAACTTTCACTCAATCCACAATAAAAGCCTTAAAAAAAAACAAAACACTAGGCAGCACTTCAGGAATGCATTTGGGGGGTCATTTTAATCAGCACAACAACCAACAAAAACCACAAAAACATGGCATTAACTAAGACTACATAAAAGACATTTGTTTGAATATGAGTTGAAACAGTAAGGCAAGGCAGAGCACCACCTTGTGTTTGACCTTAGCTGGGAAAGCACATGTTGGGGTAACTCAAACTTTCACCACTCTAGGCAGGTCTTTGAAAGACCATGATAGCACAATAAACATTCATTTTACAGTCATAAATAAATTTTAGTGAGTAGGCAAATTCATAAAAATAGAATCCATTAATAATGAGAATCAAATGTATATACACATACGGAAAAAAAGAAAATGTTAATGTGGTAAAATGTTAACATTTAAGGATTCTAAGTAAAGGCAAAATGGAAGTTCTTTGTACCATTCTTGAATTTTTTTAACCTTTAAAATAATTTTCAACAAGAGAATTACCAAAAAACTCAATTAGTCATATAGTTCAGAAAATAAAATGTACTGATTATCCAAGAAAGTAGTTCTTACCAAACAAAATTTTCACATGTATCTCCAATATCTGAAAACTTGTTTATAAACTAACAGCATGTACTTACTATATAACTAGAATATATTTTTGTATAAGTCACCCACAGCACATATACTGTTGTTGTTAGGTGCCACTGAGGCATCTCCAACTGATAGGGACCCTTTGCACAACAAAACGAAACAGTACCTGGTCCTGCACAATTCTCACAAACTGTTATATAATTCAGGTCATTGCTGCAGCCACTGTGTCAAACTATCCCATTGAGGGTCTTCCTTTTTTTTCCCCTGGCCCTCTGCTTTACCAAGCATTATGTCCTCCTCTAGGGACAAGTCCCACTTGATGATACATCTAAAGTATGAGAGATGAAGTCTTGCCATCCTGACTTCTAAACAGCATTTTGGCTGTACTACTTCCAAGACAAATTTGTTTATTCTTCTGGCAGTCTAAGATACTTTCAATATTATTCACTAACACCCTAACTTAAATGCATCCATTCTCTTATGGTCGTTCTTATTCATTGTTCAGCTTACACATGCAAGAGGCAATTGAAAATACCATGGCTTGCATTCAGTGCTCCTTAGTCCTCATAGTGACATCTTTGCTCTTTAACATTTGAAGAGGTTTATGCAGCAGTTTTGTTCAGTGCAATCTGTTGTCTGATTTCTTGAATGTTGCTTCCATGAGTATTGATTATGGTTCCAAGTAAAATGAAATCCTTGACAACGTCAATCTTTTCTCCGTTTATCAAAACAGTGTCTATTTGTTCAGTTGTGAGAATTTTTGTTTTCTTTACACTGTGTTATATAATCCATACAGAAGGCTGGAATTAAGTGCTTCAAGTCCTCTTCATTTTCAGCAAACAAGATTGTGTCATACATATATAAAGGTACTTCAAAATGTTTGTGAAAAATATTAAAAGGTAATAAAATTCTTTCAGGATCTTTTTCAAACCTCCTCATAGAGTACAAATCATACACTAAAAAGGTGACATTTTAAAAGGATAAGTTGAAAAATCAAAATAGAAAAATGATCTCACTGTACTGTGGCTGTAATATGTAAAAATGGGATGGTGGCATCAGACCTCCTCCTCTAAATTCACAAAGGGGGAGGGGAGAGAAATCAGCATCAGCATCAGGTCAAGACTGACCCCTATGAGATAGAAGTCAAACTTTCCCCTACACACATAGCACGCTCTACTTTTCTGCTGTGTTTGATTTCAGTGGCCACACAGAACTCAAAAACAATACTCAGGATTATGAGGTTTATTGCTGTTGTTAAGTGCCATCAAGTCGGTTCTGACTCACAGAGACCTTGCATACGGTTTCCAAGGAGCGGCTATTGATTTTGAACTGCCTACCCTGTGGTTCAAAACGACCTTGCGTTCCAGTGCTTATTCTACAGCACCACCCAGGGAAATAAAAGTTACAAACTCAGAATAGAGTTTAGTCAGGACAACTTATTGGCCATGACTGCTGGCAGGCCTCCTCTCAGCCCCTAGGCCTGTCCTTGGCCTTGCTTGAGCAAGTGCTACAAATCTCTCTAGCTCCACACGAAGTACCTGATGCATCCTACTCCACCAGAAGCCTCCTGCTCCAATTCACCCAGCTCTCTTGCTCCATCAGTTGGCTTCTGCCACTGTAGTTGCCTCATTCAGTGGGCTACCTGCTGTGCTATGTGACATAGGTTTCCTGTTTCTGCCACCCTTTCTCTGCAGTTATTTCATGCTGTTTTGCTTCTCACTGTCTCCACTGTTACACCTGTCTCCTCAGTCCTCAAATCATGCATTATCACAGCTAGAACATACTACTGTTGTTACGTGCCATGGAGTCGATTCCGACTTGGAATCAAAGTTTGTTGGGAAAAAAGGAATTAAAAGATTATAGATTTTTTCCACCAACATTTTGAAGTTCCCACATAATTTCTGAATTTCAAAGATCAAAAAAAATTTCAAAGATCAGTATATAAAAAGGAAAAAAATCAACAGGCAATATTAGATTTTTCTCTCTTGAAATCAAACATTAAAAATAAAACCTACATGACCAGCTACCATTATTGAAAATTATGAGCATGAGATTCTAAAGAATCTTGATCAAAGGAGGAAACATGTAAAACAGAATTTTAAATTTTCATGGAATCTAGACTTTCTGAAGCCATGGAGGCTGGGGTGAACCCCTCAAAATTATTGTGAGATAATCTTTAAAACACAAACAAAAATACGCTCTGAAGTCTTCTTAAAAACCAAGCATTACTTTAGCTTAACTAATAAACCTCAGGGGGCAGTGAGTTTGTGTTCATGGGGTAGGAACAATTCAGAAAAGGAAGGTATGAATGGATATACAACTCAAAGAATGTTATCAATGTCCCTGAATTGTACATGTAAAAGGTGTTGAATTGGTGTGTTCTTTACTGTGAATAACAAAAATAATTTTTTAAAAGACCTATAAATTTCAAAAGAAAAGAACACAAAATCCAGTATTTATACACAAAGTCAAATGACGGAAGTCCTGACGTGGCACTTAGGATAAACACTAGATTGCTAACCACAAGGTCAGCAGTTCAAACCCACAAGTCACTCTCTGAAACCCTAATAAGGGTCACTGAGTCGGAACCCACTCGACAGCACTTAAGAACATAGAATTTCCAAGGAGCAGTTGGTGGGTTGGAAGTACCAAACCACGTGGATCGCAGTCCAGTGCTTACCCTTTCGCACCATACCAGTATTTCCAGAAACCCTATACAGGGTTGATAGGAATCAGAACTGACTTAACAGCACTTAACAATAGGCCAAATGATAGGTCCAAATATCAACTGTGAGGACAGCAAAGTTATATGTTCAAACAAACTCAGAAGTCAGTGCAACTAAAACAGAAGAATGGAAAAGGCTTGTATGGGGAACCATAAAAGAGATTACTACAATTGTAAGCATAAATTAATAGCTAAAATTTTGTCATGTTTTCTCTTTTTAAAAAATTTTAAGAGCTATTAGCAGCAAAGGAAATATCTACAGACTGCACCCAAAAGTACAGAGACTAAAGATCAATCAGAGCTTTACTGATATACTTACAGGGAGTTTGGTAAAGGCCGGATTAGTGACATGCTTCCCAAAGGCATCTTCCTGAAACTGTAGAAGCTGCACCACCAGTCCAGCCAGCGTTTTATTGGTAGGAGCATCAGCATGAACATACTACAAGATAAAAACAGGACTCAAAACCTGGTATGAAGGTACAGAAAAGAACAACTGGCTTACTTCCTACTATCCACTAAGCTCTGGCACTGTGGCAGACTGATAGATTAGACACAGACTGCAGTAAAGGAGCTTACAAAAACAAACATGTTAGCTCACATGATATGGACGTCAGATACTTCTTTCCAAAATTACCACATGAAAAATGTGTGTGTGTGTGTGTGTGTGTGTGTATGTGTATATAATTATAGAGAGACAGAGAGAGAGAGAGAGAAAATTCATTTAAGATGTGGCAATCTTTAATTCATAAATTAGACATTAATGTAGTAGTGTGAACTATGCCTCATATCCCCTCAAAAGGCAGTCTCAGTGTTACATATATAGTTATAGAACTGTAAGTTTTCTAAAGGAGCCCTGATAGCACTGCAGGACAAGTATTTGGACTGGTAACCAAAAGGTCACATTGTGCTCTTTTAAGATCTATATATGTAAGAGAAAAATTAAGCTTTCTGCTCACATAGAGATTCATAGCCTCGGAAACCCTATTCAGGGTTGCTATGAGTTTGAATCAACCCTATGGCAGCAAATTTAGGATTCTTATATTGCATTTTTAAAGTTTCAAAATATTAATCCTGAAACTTAAATCTAATTTAACCAATACGAATGAAGTCAACATTTATGTGGCATAAATGTGTCTATTTTACCTAAAATATGTATAAAATCATCTTCAAGGATTGTCTCATTTAATTCTAACAGTCCTGTGGAAGTCATTCTTACTCCCAACTTATAAATGAAAAAAAAAAAATGAAAACTTATAGAAATCAAGTGTTCTACTCAAGAAAACCAACTGATAATAGACTACTGAACTCACATCTTCTAACCAAATCTAGTATCATTCCACTATCCCATACTGAAATGAGAGCTTACTTCAACTGCTTCCAAAAACTGCACCTAACACATTAGTAACATTAACATAGATAAAATCTTTCAAAAGGCTGAATTCTAATTAAGGAAAAAGGCAATCACATGTTGAAAATTTCAGTCATATGCATATTTTTTCAACAAAAATGTCCAACACCATAGCTTTACTTATTAAAAAACAACAACATAGCTTCATTATTCTGATTAAGAAAGTTGCTACATAGGTTTAGGGTGCTTTATTAATAAATGTGTTTTATAATATGGATAACATTAATGAACCATCAAAAGTTTAACTTGACCCTAAACAACCCTGTTCCAGCAAATGTCCCATTAAGTAAACAAAAAACCCACTTAAATCTGTAAATTTGTATAAATCACATTAAAATGCCTTCCTTAAATCTAGTTCAATTCTATTCATCATCCTGAAATCTTACATCTTACTACAAAATAAGTCAAACTTTAGGAGCTTATAAGTCGATCTTAAATAAATCAAACTGCGAGCTTAAGTCAGTCAACCTGGGCCTACAGAGAGACTTCACTCCAAGGTATTGGAGTTGAATCCCTTTGAAATCAGCAGTGCTAAGGTTTCATTATCTGAAAACTCCTCACAAACTACTTTCCTATAAAATATTGTCTTTTGGACTTTACCAAAGTTGGGATGAAGGACATGTAGTAATACCTGGAAGGTAGCGTTAGTAGGGAATGAACAAGCCTCTGCACTTCTACTAACACTGACAATGCAAGCTCAGGCAAACAATGGGCCTCCCAAGTTTCAGTTTCCTCAAGTTGTCTACTCCTCTGGCCCATTTGAAGTTCATGGCAGTCAAAAGTATCACTCTACCTTTGTTGCTAAATCAATTTTATCAACAAAGCCTAAATGACAGGCTCCTAGATGGGATATCTGTTCATTCATTAAACAGGTATTTAAGGAACACCTAACTAAGGGAGTCCTGATGTGGCAATGTGGGTTAATGCGCTAGACTGCAAAGTCAGTTTGAACTGCAAAGTTGGTGGTTCAAGCTTACTAGTCATTCTTTGGAAACCCTCTACAGGGTCGCTATGGGTCATAACATACTCAATGGCACTTAACACCACCACCACCACCACCACTAAGGGCATTTAAAAATAAAGATAATACAAGGAAGCACTCTATTTAATTTGAAATCACTTGGATTTCACAAGCAGATGCATAGCTATGTCCATCTCTTCCCAAAGACTGTGAACTCCTTCAAAAAAAAAGATAGTGTAGCAAAAAGAATTTGGGTTTTGGCTTCACTAAATCCCAAACCTATCGATTTAAATTAAGGAAATTTTACTTACATCCACAGCCTCACAATCCTTACCTATAAAGAGGTAAACACTATCTAGATCATTGAGGAGGATGTAAGTACCTGACACATAGTAAAATGCTCAGTAACTGAACGTATGAATAACTCCATCAATAAAAATGGAACTTAGTAATGTCACCTTTGTTTCATACATTTGCTGAGATTTAAGCTGCAGCTGCTCTGAAAATGCAATATTGAATGCAACAGAAATGCTTAGTTAAAACCCATCAATGTGCATACCAAGTAGAAATATACTGCAGAAAAGCAGCATAGTGCCTTCTGGTTTGTATTTTCACCACTCCACTTCCAGAGGCTGATACGATTCTGGCTGTCAGGCCTGAAAGGTATATGTATACAAGGGGGCTTCAAAAAGTCTGTGAAAAAATAGAATTAAAAGATAATGGAATTTTTCCACAAACTTTTTGAAGCCCCTCTGTACAATTCTGAATCTTGAGTAGGCCCAAAAATCTATTCTAGCTTTACAAGACCCTGAGAAAACAAGCCTAACTTTGACTTTAGACCTCAGGAACACTGAGCTAATGTTAACCATGAGGCTTCAATACTGGGAGGAGACCTTCAGTCAATCTCACAGCCATTTCCCTACCCAACCAAACAAATCTTTGAAGAATTATGCATGAAACTGGAAGAGACTCAAAATGTTTTAATTTGGGTGATCTGGAACAGGAAAAATTACACGTCAAAATCTTTAATTAAATGGAACAGTCAGAAAAGATGTAATGAGACCTTTCAGGAGCCTGATGCAAAAAATTGGACTCTTGGCAGGGCTGTGATGAGTAACACATATTCAAAGCTGAGTTGCCACTTCAGAGCAGGGCACCGCTATTTCCAACTCTTAAGGTCAAAAGATGTGGTTACTATGCAAAGTACATACTGCCCTTGTTTCCAGCAGAGCTTTCACCCTTTTTCCTGTTTAAACTACCATTCTGGTGTCCCCAAATTTTTAAAATTCAAGTCTGTCTTCATTTAATTTTCTCAGCCATAAGTGAACAAACAGAACAGAACTAGTTCAAATACCTTGAATTATCCACATCTACAGCTGTCGACATAAAGTTGGGGCCAAGCACACTGAGAATTTGGATTTTTTCTATATGCTCCTTTGATATTCAAACTGATAATATTCTTAAGTATTTTTCTTAAACCTACAATGACTTTGGAGTACTGGTGTGGTGCTTTGGGATAGAGCACTGTCCCTCAGGGTCAGTTTGAAACACGAAGTCCACAGTTCAAACTCACCAGCCGCTCCTTGGAAATCTATACAGGATCTCTATGAGTCAAAACTGACTGGATGGCACTAATAACAACAAAATACTAACTTTAAGACACAAAGTATTAGCTGAAGGACACTTGATAAATGTTTTCACAAAGTTTTAACTCCCTTGGCCACTTTCAGAAGTTTTCTCACCTACCAAAAAAAAGTGATCAATTCATCACCATGTTGAGTGCAACACTGGTCTCTTACTTGCATGTTGCTGTTGTTATTTGCCGTGGAGTTGGTTCCGACTCACAGTGATCCTGCACAGGGTTTCCCAGGCTGTACATTTTTACGGGAGCAGAAAGCCTTACCTTTCTTCCGCCGAACAGCTGGTAGTTTCGAACTGCTGACCTTGCAACTGAACCACTGAAACCACTGAACAACTAAAACCACTACGCTACCAGAGCTCCTTACATGTAGATGAGAAAAATTCTAAAAAGCCCTAAAATATTTTCCAATGTTTCTGGACACAAAAGTCTAATCTAGCAATTTAACTCTTCTCACTTCCTAAAACTTCAAATAAAAAAAAAAAGGTCATTTAAGAATGATTTAATGTGATATGGAAGGAACCCAAGACCCCTCCCTGCCCACACCTAATGACAATTTCACCATATTGAAGACCTCGAATGAACAGCATCTAGACTACTTTATCTGTTCATTCATTTAACAAATGTTTACTCAACTACAAAAGGTGAAACACTCCATATACAAACCAAAAGTCACTGGTAAACAAACAGGTTATGGTTATGGTTCTCAACATGGGAAGTTCAGAACTGGGATAGTGTACCCAAAACGTGTGATGGGGCATAGAGATATTTTGGGCTGTGTGCATTGTTACATCTTCTAATAGACTCATTTTTAAGTATTAACATTAAAATGGAGCTCAAAACAATGTACTAAAAATGGGATTATATTCCAACTTAGAAAAACACTGCTTAAACAGAGCTGACATTCTGAAAAAGGAGACAATCAGGTAATTAAGTGATCTAATACTAAAAGGAGGTTCTCATTAAAGACCTCATTGAGGAACACATTGTTATAGTTAGGTACCGTCGAGTCGTTTCCAACAGTACAACAGAAGGAAACATGCCATCCTCACAAATGCCGCAAGTGCAAGTACACACTAACCCTTATATATTCACACAACCAAAAACACAACGAATACTAGTTCTCAATATTATAGTTCATTTTACTTGCATTAACCTGCTAACTTCCAAGTATAACTTTTTTTTTTTTAAGGCAAAACAACAGGTACTAAAACCTAAAGTAACCTCATTAAACTTTGGAATCTGTCTCTAAATAAAACTTTAAAATTTTTTTCTACAACGCCGATTCAAAGTTTTTAGGATCATCGTTCACACTCTCGTAATGCAACTAAAAAACAAGAAAGGTTCACACGCTCCAGGATATGCTGGGCTCAACTAACTGCTGCGCACTAGGAAAGGGCTTTCGCCCGCGGAGCGTGGGTTCACGGGAGCGAGCACGGGCTCCTGCGGGCCCAGGTCTCTAAGACGCTGAAAGAGGGCGGCGGGGGCGTGTCGGGCCCGGCGCCGGCCTTTGTTGTCCCTCGTGGCGGGCGGAGGGGGAGGGGCGGCCCGAGGCCCGCGAGGCTAGTAGCCTTTCCCGGCCTCCGGCGCGTGGTCTCCCCACCTAGCGACGAGCGCGCGAACCCACCTTCTTGTAGTGCTTGCCCAGCCAGACCCGCACCGAGTCCAGCTGGGACACGGTCTCCGGGCTCTCCCAAAACTTGCTAGCCGGACCCCCGTCCTTCCGTCGATAAACGGCCAGGCCCGCGGCAGCAGTCGTGCCACCCGTGCCTGCGCTGCCTGCCGTCGCCCCCGGCCCGCCGCCGCCCGCCGCCGTAGCCATCGTAGTTGCCCGTCGTGCCCACCGCCCGGCCCGCCCCGGCCCTCACGGTGCTTCTCTTTCCCACCCGAGCGCGCGCGCGACACCGTCACCGCCGCCTCCGGGCCCCGCCCAACCAACCCCCTTCCGGTGCGGATGACCGGCCCCGCCCACCCCCTGACCGGCGCCGTAACCGACGATGGCACGCGCAGGAGCAGTCTGCGCACGCACCCAAGCATGCGCAATAGGAGTACTGTGGACCATAGCTTTCTGCCCGCCTCTTCCTGCAGCTTACCTTCTTCGCTTCCTAGTTTCGTTCTTTGCGTACCTGTCACTCCGCTGTCTACCTGCATCCGAGAGTTCTCTGGTTAATAAACTCATATGCGTTTTTGTCATTGTCTGCCACAGCTGGAGACAAAAGGCCTGGTGAGAAGTGCAGAAGGGAAAGGCCTTATCGAGTGCCCAAGGACCCACCCTGAGCGTTGGGACTCTAAACAAACCAATCCGTTTGTCTTCAGATGTCCTGGGCTCAACTAACTGATGCACACTAGGGAAGGGCCCCGTCTGCCTTTGTAAACGTCCATCAGAGTTCCCGGTGCCCGGGAGCGGCTTGCATATACCGGCTTATTTAGTTTTGGGTCCCTTTCATCAGCTAGCTGTGCTTTGAAACTCCACTATTCTTCCGCTCTGAATTTCAGTTACATTGTTAGGTGCCGATTCGGTTCCGTTTTATGGCCACCCTGTAACGGATTTCCGAGGATTGGGTGGTAGGTCTGAATCATAGACATTGCGGTTAGCAGTCCAGTGCTTATCCTACAGCGCCACACCAAAACCTCGAAATTTATAACCTAGAGGTGTTTCAGAAAAATACTTGGTTATAAAACCTTCTGTTAATGGCACTCTTATTAATAAAATAAAAGGTTATGAAATTACAATCGCCTTTCTTTCCTTAAAGTAAATGATGCATGTGTACAAATATACGAATACATGTTACATGCCATTGAGTGAATTCCGGCTCACAGCTACCCTACAGGACAGAGCAGAACTGCCTTATGGGGTTTATTGTTGTTGTTATATGCCATTGACTGGTACCGACCCTAGCGACCTTATGCACAGAACGAAACACTGCCCAATCCTGGGCCAACTTCACTACTGTAGCCACGCTTGAGTCCATCGATGCTGGCACTTTGCCAGTCCATCTACTTGGAGGTCTTCCTCTTTTTCTCTGACCCTCCACCTTACAAAACATGATATCCTTCTCCAGCGACTGGTCCCTCCTGACAATATGTCCGAAGTATGAGAGACAAAGTTTGGCCATTTTGGCCTCCAAAGAGCACTCTGACTGCACTTCTTCCAAAACGGATCTATTGGTTCTTTTGGCAGCCCGTGGCACTTTCAATATTTTCCTCCAACACCATAACTGAAAAGCATCAATTCTTCTATGGTCTTACCTATTCAATGTCCAGCTTTCACATGCAGATAAGATTATTGAAAATATCATGGTTTGGTTCAGGTGCACCTTCGTCCTCAAGCTGACATCTTTGCTCTTCAACACTTGAAAAGGTCTTGTGCAGCAGATTTGCCTAATGCAATACATCCTTTGATTTCTTGACTGCTGCTTCCATGAGTGTTGATAGTTGATCCAAGAAGAATAAAGTCCTTGACAACTTCAATCTTTTCTCCATTGATAAGAATGTTGTTGATTGGTCCAGTGGTGAGGATTTTTGTTTACATTGAGATATAATCCATGCCTAAGGCTGTGCTCTTTGATCATCATCAGTAAATGTTTTAAGTCTTCTTCACTTTCAGCAAGCAAGGTTGTATTATCTGCATATAACAGATAGTTAATGAGTCTTCCTCCAATCCTGAACCACGTTTTTCTTCATCTAAGCCAACTTCTCAGATTATTTGCTCAGCATACACGTTGAGTAAGTATGGTGAAAGAATACGACCTTATTGCACAACTTTCTTAATTTTAAACCATTCAGCATTCCCATGTTCTGTTTGAACAACTGACTCTTGGTGCAGGTACAGATTCCTCATGAGCACAATTTAAGTGGTCTGGAGTACTCAATTCACAAAATGTTAAAAAAAAAAAAAAAAAAAAAAA